ACCCTCAGGGCACAGGAGGGAGTGGGGTGGGCACCCGTGAGGAAGGCCTGGACACTGGGGGTGGGGGAGGTTAAGGCTGGAAGGGATGGTGCACAGGCCAGGTTTCCAGGGGAAGCCATGTCTTTGGAGAAGACAGTGTGTGGAAAGAGGCAGGGTGGGTCCTAGGTGAGCAAGTGGTGATCGGGAACCTGAGCTCTTCCCTCAGACCTCCACCCTTAGTTCACCGCGTGACCTTGGGCAAGTCTCTTCTCCTGCCTCAGTTTCCCTAGCTGGCCAATGAATAAAATTCAAATTCTCTGTCCTGGTTCCCTGACCTCTTCTTGAGGGACCTTCTCTCCCTCCCTCCCTTTCCTCCAGTTATGTTGAATGCGCTGATTCCTACCTCAGGGCCTTTGCATGTACAGTTCCTTCTGCGGACACTTCTTTCTAGATCTTCCCATGACCGATTCCCTCTTCTCCTTTTGTTCAAATGTCACCTCCTCAGGGAGGCCCTCCTTGACTCCCTATCTAAAGGCAGGACCCACTACAATCATGCTGTCTTCCACCACCTTCTGTTACTAGCCTTTGTCCCTTAACTTTACTTATGATGATCTATTTTTGTGTGTTCTCTATCTCCTGTCATGAAAATAGAAACTTTTCAGAGCTTCTGTGTGGCCTGGTTTACCACCCTGATATCTAGCCCAGTGGCTAACACAGAGCAAGAATGAAAGGGTGGCTAGGGTTCCCTGAAGCCCTGGGGACATCTGTTAAGGTCAAGGGAGGAACCTGTACCCAGGGCTCCTTCCCGGGTCTCCTCCCGGGTCCTCCCTGTTCCTGAGCAGCTCAAACCACAACCTGAGGGTCTCTGATCCTCTCCATCAGGCAGCACCAGGGCATTGAGACCCAGGAAGACAGCGGTTAAGGTGGGACAGTCTGACATCTCTGACTGAGGCCAACCTGCGTGGGTTCAAATCCCAAATCAACCCCACCCTAACCTGGGCAGGTGATTTCATGCCTCTGAGCCCTAGTTTCGTCCGCAAGGCAGAGATGACAATAACACTTACCCACGGGGCAGTAAACGGTTACTATGAGTAATAGTCCCATTTTACAGATGAGCAAACTTAAGGCTCAGAGTGGCAAAACGACTTGCCCAAGGTAATTTACAAAGTACTAAGGCTGGGACTGGGACCCCAGGTCCTCCTAATCCCCGTGCTCTGCACAGCACCCTTGAGGTTGAATGCCCTTCCTTGATAAGCTTATTTCCTTTTTATCCTCCCGAGTTCTTGCTCTTAACCTCCCATCCACTCACTTCCACGCAGGGCTCTAGAGGTCACGGTGGCTTACAAATCGTGGAACTCATTTTCTCCTCCTGGCAACCTATGAAATACTATTAACCCAGTATCACAGCTGGGGAAATTGAGGCACACTGAGGTTAAGCCATCTCCTAAGGCCACCTGGATAGCGAGTGGCAGAGCTGAGATTCAACCCGAGATGGGAACCCTCCCCCCTCCACCAGCCACATGCACTGAGAACTCAGCTCCCCTTCCAGCTGCTCTCCAAGCTCCACAGCCTTGGACCCTCTGAAACCCCCGGGGCCAGCGAGCCAAAGGCCCAAAGTCTTGAACCTCTGATTGAGCCCATAATGTGTAGCAGGTGGGAGGAGGAGACGTGCGCAGATCTTCACCTCTCCTGGGTCCTCTGCCCTCTGCTCTGGGGCTGGGGGTCCCAGGGCCACATCATCATGATGACGACGACGATGATGATGATGGTGACAAATTGTACTTACTGAGCGTCACGGGCCAGGCCCCGCTCTACGCGGTTCACTCCTGTTTGAAACTCACTCATTTGTCCCAAGGGCACTGGGAGGCAGACGTGGGCTTCCTGCCACGGTACAGATGAGGCGTGGGGCACGCGCACATCGTGCTAGGGCGCCGTGGTGGGATGTGAACCCGGGTTGGCTTGACCCTTAAACCCATTAGAATAAGAGCAGGAGATATCTGGAGAGGTGGCCTCTTCGTGCTGGGTTGGGAGAACTGCCCTGAAAGGGGTCAGGTCCTCTGAGACTGATGTGAGCAAGAGACAGAGCAAACAACAGAGACACAGACAGGAGAGACAGAGAGAAAGCGAGAGAGAGGCAGAGAGAAGCTAAGACAGATACAGAGAGAGACACGGTGAATCAAATGGACAGTGACAGATAGTGAATCTTTAGTGTGAGCCAGGGAGCCCCCCCCCCGAGAGAAAGACTTAGCTCATTCTCTCCTGAGAAGAGAGAAGGGAGGGAGGGAGGGTTGCTCAGGAGGGTGATGCCTACAGCGGGGGGAGGAGGGAGGCCAACAGGCAGCCTGGCTCCAGAATCAGATAAACATGTTTGCCTCGAAGCACAACACCGGACTTTGTACCTCGTTTCCCTCCTGGCTCTGACTGGCATCCAGGGAGCAGGGGAGGGGTTGACAAGGAGGATCCTAAATGCAGGGAGGAGGAAAAGCTCCAGGAGAGCTCTGGTTGGGGTGGGGGGAGGTGTCTGGAAAAAAGAGAAATATTCTGGAGTCCCAGCTAGGTCACTTTGCACAAGCACTCCCTTTCTGAGGTTCTGTTTTCCCATCTGTGAAATGGGCACATAAGTAGCACCTGGTTCCCAGGGTTACATGGTAAAATGTAAATGACCAGCCTTTAGCGCAGTGCCTGGTTCACGGCAAGTAAGAAACACGAATTCTCACGTCGGTCATTCTTCTACAACTGGGACTTTGCCGTACCGACTGCCGGCCGACTTAAATTGAGTGGCCCCTGCCTCCCTTCCCTCCCTACGCGTATGGGAACTGCTGATAAAAAGGAGAAAGTCACGGGACCCAAGCTGCTGAAAGGCTCTGTGCCTATCACACCTGAGAAGGGCATCATCAAGGGGGCAAGGCCAGGCTGGTTCTTTGGGAAGGAGGGAAGGAGGGAAGGGGAGAAGGCAGTATGAGGTGGGCCTCAAAGTGCTGGGGGGCTTATTTGCTTTTTGTTCTTTTACAATTTAGTTTTAAGTGTTATACATGCATGAATAGCATATGGTACAACGATATATTACATTATTTTAAAAGTGCAGAAAAGCAACAGAGGACACCGTCCTCTCCCCCTGGCCCCGGCACTCCATTTGTATCTCAAGACCACTGGTGTCAAAAGTGTCTTCTGTGTTCTTCCGGTATTTCATGCAAACACAAGCAAATATGTGGAAATCTGTCAGGCCATTTCACATTTTACACAAATCGCACAGCAGACCTACCAGAGGGGCTCTGTTCCATCAGGGCGCAGGGAGAGCTTTCTCACTGGGTTTTTATGGCCGCATCTGCTGGAGGTACCGCGATTGGTACCCTTTCGCTGGCACTTAGGTGGTTTCCCATATTTTGCTGTGCCAAACATGGCGATGAACTGCCTCCCACACCTGCTATTTGTCACACGTGCGAATACCCGGAGGCTCAAATTCTAGAAGCGAACGGCTCAGCTGAGGAGGCGAGAGCCTCAGGCTTTGGAGCCACACAGAGCTGGGTTCAAACCCCGCCCCCCGCCCTTGCTCTCCTGTGTCAGCACTGTTGTGTGGAGCTGTTTTCATCAGACATATTTGTCCTACAAACTCAGGGGAGGACGGGGCAGAGAGGAGGGCTGAGACAGAACAGAAGGGGGAGAGAGAGCATTTGTGTAGTACAGGCACTCAGAGCCCCCCATTCTCCACAGTGAGCAGGGGATAAGAACATGAATCGTGGATGGCTGTCTCTCCAGTGAGAGAGTCTCAGCCCACAGAGTGGGATTCAGGTGCGCACACACACACACACACACACAGCTGTATACCAGCTGACGACCTTTTCACCTGGACCTGTCTGCCCCTGTGCTCTGGGAAACTGGCCAGGCCACAGCCTAGAGGTTAGTACAGATTTTCAGGGGGTGTTTTGACCCTATGTGATTTGTACCTGATAGGTTGACTTAGAACTGAACCCCTTCATATGGGATGGGACTCTGCTGGGCTGTCCCTGTGACCTTGGCCAAAAGATGCTATGCCAGCACTCTTAGCATCAGTGACCCTGCCTGTAAAATGAGAGAATTGCTTTTCTCTCCTTGTTTTCAGAACCACCCCCCGCCAAGTAGGTCTCCCTCATCCATCCATCCACCTGCTCACACCCCTATTCACTTACCCATCTATCCTCCTATCCATTCATCAAACTACCCATCCATCCATCCACCACCCACCATCCCATTTGCCCAGCCATCTACCTGTCCACCCATCTACATATTCCTCTATCTACCTATCCATCTACCTTCCTATCCATTCATCCAACCATCCAGTCACTATCATATATTTATCATCCATCCATCCATCCATCCATCCATCCATCCATCCATCCACCCATCATCACATTTACTCACCCATTTCTCCATCCCTTTATCCACCTACCCTCCCATCCATTCATTCATCCACCCATCCACCATCCCATCCATCCACCCACTCACCCATCCATTCATTCATTCATGCATTCACCATGGGCATGCAGGCCTATTCTGGGTGCTGAGAACCAGAGAGTTCCTGCCCTCCAAGTGTTTACGGTCTCTCACAGTGGATAAGACACAGCCACAAACAACATTTTGAGGTAGGAGGAGGTGGGGGGTCTTCAAAGGAGGCACAAAGGTGAGGATCTTCCCCAAGTGGCTTGTATAGCTTCTGGTGGGAGTCAGTTCATGTCTTCATGTCAGTCCATATGTCTGTGCATTCATGTTTCTAAACTTTTCACTGTGCCCGCGTCTGTGTGGCACTGTTTGAGGCCTGTGTCCACACGTGTGTGCCTACAAGTCTCTGTTCCCATGTTCATGTGTCTGCGTTCCTGTGTCCTGGCACGAGTGCCCCTCCCTTGCTGTCCCTGAGTCTAAGTGTAGGTCCCAATCCCCACGCCTGCTTTCACCCCCAATCCCCATTCTCAGGGCTGACGGGACCCCCGACCCTGCCTGCACCCCCACGCCCAGCAGCCTCTGTCCTGGCCCCTCCTCCTAGGGAGGACCCGTGGCGCGTGGCCAAGATGGTCAAGTCCTACCTGCAGCAGCACAACATCCCACAGAGGGAGGTAGTCGACACCACCGGCCTCAACCAGTCGCACCTGTCCCAGCACCTCAACAAGGGCACCCCCATGAAGACACAGAAGCGAGCGGCCCTGTACACCTGGTACGTCCGCAAGCAGCGAGAGGTGGCCCAGCGTAAGTAAAGACCACAGCCCGTCCTCCCTGGCAGCTCTGGGGTGGGGGCCGGAAGCTCCTCCACCGCATGACGGGGATAGGCCGTCTGAGCGGAAGTCCATGCGAGTCAACTGGCGCTTAGTACCTGTTCCGCGCAAAGCACTCTGGGGGAGGGGAGTAGGTTGGTCCTGGGCATCCGCGGATGGGTGAATGGAGTCCTTGCCTTCTAAGTGTTCTGTGTAGATGGGAAGCAGAAAAGATCATCATGATACAGCGAGACATGTATTATAATGTGATAAAAACAACAGTAACGGCTAGTGTTTACGGAGCATTCACCGTGTGCCAGGCCCAGGGCAGAGTAGGACTTCATGAAGTATCTCAAAATGTTGAGCTGGCAGAGGACCAGAGAGTAATCTATTGTCAGCGGGGAGGCAGGGGCATCAGGAGGGACCACACCAGAGGCAGAACTTTCAGACTAGGTCTTAAAGTCAGAACGGAATTTTGGCCCATGGAGGCGGCAGGGAATGGTGTTTGGGCCAAAGGAGCAGCCTGAGTAAAGACTCAGAGGCAAGGTGTAGGCTCAGGGAATCCTCCATTGCAAACTCCAGATGTGGCCACGCTCTCTTCAGAGAAGTCTGGGTTTCCTTACCCGACCTCACACCCCACAAAATCCCAAGTGCACTTTCACACTACTGAGCCTATGTGTAGACATTAAAAAAAAAAAAAAGGGGCG